TTTTTTTTAGTTTTTCGAGACAGGGTTTCTCTGTAGCTTTGGAGCCTGTCCTGGCACTAGCTCTTGTAGACCAGGCTGGCCTCGAACTCACAGAGATCTGCCTGCCTCTGCCTCCCGAGTGCTGGGATTAAAGGCGTGCGCCACCACCACCCGGCTCAAGCCAAAGCCTTTCTGCAGCTGCATGGAGTCACTAGGAGAAATGGAACCATACTGTCACGGGGCTTGTACAAGGCCAAAACCTTCTCACTAAAATTCACATGTTGAAGCCCTAGCCCCTGGCACCTCAGGGTGTCGAGACCATTAGGTTTGCTGTATGGAGACATGAATAGTGCCTTAATAAAATGATAAAACGAGGACTGAAAGACACCTGTGAAGACAAGGAGGTTGCCTGCAAACCAAAAGGCGGCCTCAGGAGACACTGCAGCGTGGGGAGTTCCAGAAAAGGTTTCCACTGTGGAAGCTGCCCACGCCCTGGTATTTTTTACAGCAGCTGGAACAGAAGACTACATTCACTAGTTCTGTGCTTTGGTTTTGTTTAGCAGACAGGGTCTCAGACTATACCTTAGGCTAGCTGCAGTCTTCCCAGTGCTGGACTCCAGGAATAATCCAGATAATTACAGTAACTGCAACAGTCTCAGCCAGGTCTCCTTCTCTTCTGGAGGCCAGAGCAGCTGTCCCTATCATGTTCCTGGCGTGTTCCACTCTCGAAAGTCCACCTCCTCACATTAAAACCCAGAGAAACTCTGTAGCTATCCCACAGCAAGGCCCAGCTTCTGGCACGCCTGCCCAACAGGCACAACCTGCATCATTTTTACCTCTGGTCCTTTGGGTTATTTTGTGCCTTCTGCAAATAGTTCAAGACACAACCAAAGTTTTTATTTATTTTTAAGCCATATTTTCCTCACTGGAGGGCCAATGTTGTCTTTCTGCCATTGTTTTACCAGCATCTGAAAATCCCACCCAACCTTAGGCAAATTCATTTAGATTGAAACAAAAGACAGAGGTGCCTTTGATTACATTTTATTTGGTATCAGGCTGTATCATCTGTGGAAAATAGACTTCAGCTTGGTCATTCTGACTCCCAGGGCCAGCATCTTCTGAAGATAGCAGTTTTCAGTTTTATTTTTTGAATTCTATTTGTGTGTATACCTTGGTGATGTCATTGTACCTGCCTTCAGGGGCCTGGTAGTTAGAGATTGGTGGCGTGTGATGTGGCCCTTCTTTCTCAAAGGGAAACAGGCTGCAGTCCCGCTTCACGGCCTCGGCATAGAGCTCTGGAGACTCAAGCTTCAGTTCCTGAAGTGCTTCCTGCTGGGCTTCCAGCATGGCTTGGATGGCGTCCCTCTCTGCCTCATGCTCCTGCTTCTTGTACAGTGCCCACCTCTTCAGCAAGAGAGCTCTCTGCTCACTCTCCTCGGAAGAATGCTCCTCCTGAAGTCGCTGTCTGTGAAAACACAAGTCCAGAGTCGTGAGGCTGAGCAGTACTGATCCTGCAGCAGAGGGACCCTTGTGACCGCACACGACTTCTGACCCTGCAGCAGAGGGACTCTTGTGACCACACATGACTTACTGACCCTGCAGCAGAGGGACTCTTGTGACCACACATGACTTCATTGCCTACTAGCAGGTACTGCCTTGGCACAACCAGGGCTCAGGAAAATAGTAAATTTGGGGGTAAATTAAGAATGTAAAGGCTGGAGAGATGACTCAGAGGTTAAGAGCATTTTCTGTTCTTAGAGACCAGAATTTCTTTTGCAGCCCCAGAATTAAGTGGCTTACAGATGCTTATAACTCCATTTCTAGAGGATCTGCTGCCCTCTTCTGGCCACTAAGATACCTGCAGTCACATGAACATAAAACACACATACGTACACATGAATAAAAATATATCTTAAAAAAAAAAGAAAGAAGAACACAGTGTAGGACATGGAAGCAGCTGCTGTCCACTAGCAGAAAGAGCACACTCTGAGAGAACTATGATACCACTGTTTCTGCCCCAGGCAAAGCCTCCTTTTGGTGAAACAAAAACCAAAATCTCAGAGACAAGTGCCCATTTGGTCCTAGAAGCCCACAAAGCACCAGCGCTTCCCAACTTTTTCAGGAAAGCGTGAGGTACCTGCTAAACTTGCAACACACACCAACTATGAACATTTGTAGGTGAGGCTCTGAGTTTTCTACAGTGCAGCAGGTTGAGAGTGAGGGAGCCAATGCCTATATCATAAGTCACAGTCAACATTCATGGACATGAACAACAGGACCCCTGGAGCAAAGCTGATCCAAACTCCCTTGAGTGTCTGTCTCCAAATCCCCAAAACCACAATCAAGACGAAAAGGACTCCCACCTGGGCCAAGTCGGCCCGACTCACCTGTTCCCAGCAGAGAAGAACTTCAGTCAGAACTACTTGAGGGAATTCCTTTGCATTAAGGATGTCAACCCAGATGAGAACCTTTACCTTGATTTATCCAAGAATCTCACAGGGGTGATAAAATCTTCAATGGGAATTAGTTCTTGGTTGGCCTTTTCCAGTTTTCGAATCCTCCTTTTCAAGCGATCCTTTGCTGCTTGGTCCTTTTTAGGATCTACCTTCTTCTTCTTCCGTAGTGGTTCTGCTCTAGTGGATAGGAAACAAACATTCAGTGCTTCCACTTCAACCTCAGGATGGACACGATGCTGAATAAAGTGCCTCACACGTGTACCAGATGCCCTGAGAAGGAGGTGTCCACAGTCCTGACTCCAGGAGCCTAGTGACCGGTTTTAGCCCATTGTTTTTGTGAGGACTGTAGGGATCCATCAACTCTAGGAAGCAGCACGAAACTACAGGTATTTATTAAGGGGAGGTGTTAATTTTTCTTTTAAAGACACATTCCCACATAGCCCTGACTTGCCTTGAACTAGCTATGTCCTCGAACTCTGATCCTACTGTCTCTACCTCCTGACTGCCAGGCTAGTCATTTTCTACCATTCCTGGTATTATGGTACTCAAGATTAAACTGAAGGCTTTGTGCACGCGAGGCAAGGAACTGGGCTACATTCTTAGCTTGGAAGTTGTCAGTCTGTGCTTCAACACACAGATACCTTGAAACCTCCTGAGAAGTGAACTTACTGAACTAAAATCTACTTATTGAAATTAATAAAAAGCTCATTCACATTTTAAATGAATCTGTGTTCTAAAATATGCTCTAAGAATTAAAGAGAGCTGGGCAGTGGTGGCACACGCCTTTAATCACAGCACTCAGGCAGAGGCAGGTGGATCTCTGTGAGTTCAAGGCCAGCCTGGTTTACTGGTTACGTAGAGAAACTCTGTCTCAGAAAATAAAAAGAAAAAAAAGAATAAAAGAGGATAGTAAAAGTGACTGGCCATGTCTTTATTCACTTCTCAGAATTTGCTACCAATTTCTGGGGTGTTAAGATGACTCAATCACTTAAGTGATTAAGACTTGCTGCTCTGGACTACTGAGACCTCAAGAACAATGGCAATGGGTTTTTGATCCTACTGTACCTATTGGTTTCGTGGGAGCCTAGGCAGTTTCGTGGAGGCTCACCTTACTAGACCTGGATGGAGGTGGGTGGCCCTTGGACTTCCCACAGGGCAGGGAACCCTGACTGCTCTTTGGGCTGACGAGGGAGGGGGACTTGACTGGGGGAGGGGGAGGGGAAGGGGAGGCGGCAGTGGGGAAAAAAAAATAAAAGACCCAGAAGCTGAAAAAAAAAAAAAAAAAAGACTTGCTGCTCACTCTTGGTTCCCAGCACTCACATGGTGGCTTATAACCACCATTAATTCCAGCTCCAAGGGGTCTGGCACCTTCTTCTGGCCTTTGTGGGAATGACATGCAATGTACACCCATACATACAGACATAACACATTAAAAAAAATTCCATGCCCTGAAGCTGGCAATTATCTGGTTTGCTTTTAGGAACACATCTCTAAGACATAATTTGCCACTAGGAATAAACAAATCTGGGGTTGGAGAGATGGCCTAGAAGTTAAGAGTGCTTGCTGCTTTTGAAGACTGGAGTTTGGTTCCCAGCTCCCAGCGCCCACATCAGGGGCTCACAGATGCCTGTAACTCTAGGGAGGGTATCTGTAACTCTGTCTGGCCTCTGAGGGCACCTGAAAACATGTGTGTATACATATGACTGGTACATACACATAAATAAAAGGAAACATAAAAAAAATCAGCAAACCCTTTAGCATTAAAATCAACTAAATCAAGTCCCAAGGAAGCATCCAAAGTACCCAGAGGAACTATTTTTAGTCTTTGAACCTTCTGCCCACTCAGAATCAGAATGAGCAGGAAAGAGCAAGGAAAGAGATACAGAAGTTAAGATGTGTCCTTTAACACACACAAGACTCCTCAAAGCTAACTGCTATTATTTAAACTACTTTACTACACATAAGCAATAGCAATATATGCTATTATAGTACAGCGTGTTGAAAGGACACAGGCATCTACCTATATTTAACTGTAGATGGATCTGCTAACCAAAGATTGGGCAGTCTTACTTTGTTTTGGTCATATGCATACATGTGTTTCTCACACCCCAAGGGTCATGTTGAATTTTACCTCATGGGGATGAGTTCCCAGAAGGACAGCAAGGAAGCTCTTTGGTGGGTGTGTCTGGTCTGTGTCTGGCAGATTCCAGAGATCCTGAAGGAAAGAAGGCTATCTATAAAGATCTGACCGGGGAAAGAGAAGGCACATACACATAACCACAGGGCTCTCCGAAATCTGGAAGGCAGTTGTATTTTTTTTTTTTTCAGACAAAAGTCTCCGTAATTCTGGCTATCCTGGAACTTGAGGCAATTCTCTTGCCTAGGCTAATCCACCATATCTAGCTCACTTGTATTAGGCCAGCAAGATCAAAGTGAGGACTTTTCCAAACTTCGTTTCGCCCCTACTTGCTCCAGCAGGATTTTTTTCTTTTTTTAAGTAGGGTCTAATACAGCCTGGGTTGTGCTACGCAGCTGTTGATGACCTTGAATTTCTGGACAAGCTCTGCCTTCACAGGCCTGGAATTGCAGGCGTGTGTCGCCACGCCCAAGTTTTTTGTGGAGCTAGGACGGCGCATGAAGGCTCCAGACTCGGTAGGCAAGTAGTCTGTCTACTAAGCTACATTCCCAGCTCGGATTTTCATTCGCAACAGACGCGAGCAACTCAGCCCAGAAATAATCTGCGAGCACCACAGCAGCGCCAGTGCAGAGCCCGCGCACGCGCCCTGGCCACTTCGCCACCCGTGTCGGCACTCACCAGCTCCGCGGCCGCAGAGCTCGCGCAGCACACAGCATCGCAGCGGTAGCCATAGCTTTTCACGCCACCCGTCGGCGGGCAACTTACGGCAGCGCGCCCCTGGGCGGTCCGAACTGTTGTACCGAGTAGGGTCAGACAGGCCGCGGCCCGGAACTCGCCGGTCCGCGATTCGGAGAGGCGGGCCCACCCTGGCCCCGCCCCCGACGCAGCCCCGCCCCTGGCAAGCGCGCCTCTCTTCGCAGCGCCCTGCGGCTGCTGTTCCGCCTCCTGCTGGTGCTGCTGTACAGCCTGCAGTCTTGCCCAAGTGTCTCTTGTGCCTTTGTGGCTGCTTTCTGCTCCGCCTGCCCTATGTGTTCACGTCTATGCAAACACCCCAATTAAACGCGCCCGTCTCGTCCCTTGTATCCCTCCACCAGACTAGCTCTTTTCTGCATCCATTCGAGCCCAGGACCACTGCTGTCTGCCGCTAGCGGCTTGCTGGCGCCGGCCCGGATGCAGCTCAAGAGATGCTCAATAGCGCGTGTTGAGGGATGACGGAAGCTAGTTACTAAAGTGGACTCGGAGCTGCGGAGGTAGAGTTAGAGACCTGGACACTACCCTGGCCCCGCATCGTCGGGCGGCATGCGGCCCAACCCGTCCACACCGAGCCTCACCAGCGACCGCGCCAGTGTCAGACCCAAAGCGGAGTAGCCCAGCGCTCCCCCTGCCTGCCAAAGAGCCGAGGCGGGCCCGTCCGCGTAGGGAGCGGTTTCCCGCCGGGGCGATTTGGCAGGTGCGCGCCGTGACTTCCGGCGTTGCCCCGGAGCCGCCGGAGGAGGAGCGGCGCAGGGGATGCGGCTGTGGCGGCGGCGGCGGCGGCCGAGCGCAGGAGGCGGCTGTGGCGGCGGCTGGGGGCGCGGGCCGGCGATGGCGCGGCGGCGCTGAGGGCAAGGGTGGGCGGCGGCCGGAGGGCGGGCGGCGCGGGAGGAAGCAGCAGCGGCTCCATGGCCCAGGCGCGCTGAGGGACACGGTTCTGGCCTCAGCCCGGCGGCGGCCGAACAATGAAGCTCTTGAAGCCAACCTGGGTCAACCACAATGGTGAGTGCGCGCTGGAGTCGTGGGCGGCCGAGCCTGCATCGGGGTGGTGTCTGGAGTTGGCTTGCGGCGCGCGCAAGCCCTGCCTGCCTTGCCCGGACGCCGGTGCCGGGTGCTGGAGCTGCAGAGCGGGCGGGAGCAGACTTTGTCCTCGGCTCCGAGATACCGGCGAGCCCGGGCACGTGCTTCGGGCTGGTTGCGGCCAAGTCCGCCTTCGCCCCAGGCATGGCGCTGAGTCCTGCGCCGCCCACCCCTAGTCTGGAGTGCCTGGCGCCTGGCTTCTGTGAGCCAGCCTGGGTACCGGCCTGGTGCTGCCACCCGGCTTCACCGTCCAATGTGTGCTCGGATGGTTGTAGTGAGTATGAAACTGGGCGACATCCCCCTTGTGGCCTTTCGGTGGCTTTTTGGAGATATAGACTGCATGAGAGACTGATTGCACTACCGCTTCTGAGGCCTGAAGCTGATGACAGTGCCCCCACTCGGGCTCTTGTGGTCCTGGGAAGGGCCTGGGCGCAGGGTCCTTTGGAGGGCCACGAAGGAACCACATTTAATGCAGGGTCGGGGCTTCAGCGTGACTAAGATCGGGGCCCGTAGTGCACAGGTTATTCTAGGAGACGAGCGACTTTGGATGTGTGGTAGTGACTTTAAAGAACGGGCTCACACTCCTGGTCGAGGTGGCTGATGCAAAGCAGCCGGTAGCATCCAGCTTTGTGGAGAACTACTTGCCCTGCCTAGCGGAGAAGAGCTAGAGCTCTCTGCCAGCTGTTAGTACTTAGTCTCTGGAAGCATCCGAAGGACGCAGTGGGAAGCGGCCACTCTCTACCCAAAGCGAGAAGAATCCCCCCGATACTGCCTTAGTTCCTCGTTTCTACTTTATAGTACATCTAGAGGGAGCTACAGTTTTTTTTTCTTTTTTCTTTTTGTAAAGCAAGAGGAGTAGATGCATATTTCTTTTTTTAAAAACCCACGTGGTCTTTTCATTTTGTATTTGGTTCGGGAAGCTTTTCACTCCTACAGCCAAACATCTGCTTTTTGGGTCACAAGCAAGAAGAGTGGTGCTCTGCACTTCACAGTATCATTGTGAAGTTCATCTAAGAACAGAGACATTAAAGTTCTTAGCCTAGAAAGCGCATTAGAGATCTAAGTGAAGGGGAGTGGAAAGAATATTACCAAAATACATTGTATGATTTTTTAAATTAAAAATATTGAAGCGATAATGTTTATTAGTGATAAAAATGTTGAGACTTAAGCAAATTTCTGTTCTTTTAAAATCTAAAGGCACCCTCCCTCTCTGTCTTGGGGAGGATGCTGTTGTGAGTCACTACTAAGCCGGCCTTTAAAGATGGCAGTGGTAGTGGAAGCTGCTTGCTAGCCAGACCCTGAATGGTAGTAGATAGTAAAGCCAGTTTCCTTTGAACGAAGGGCCCCACTGCGCATTGGAGGCAATGCATGCTTGTACTTCCTGTCTTTCTTATTTAGCCGTCTAGTTTCCTGCCTCTCTATACAGCGTGAACATACTTTTCTCTGGGATCTGAGAGTTCAGAGAGGGGAGGAAAAGAGAGCTGAAGGTTTTCTAAAAGATGGCAGGGTATCCATTTAGACAAGGTAGCTTGAAGAGGTTAAAGGCAGAGAGAGAAGTGTTTGTTGGTCTTCATTTTTGTGGTCCAGTACTAGAGAAACCTCTCACACAGGATTTCTCAGCCCCAGCACGATGAATGTTTTCGTCACACAACTGTCTTAAGGGCTATCCTATGTATTGTGTGATCCTTACTTAGATGTCAGCGTTGTCCACTACCATAACTGCCCTTAACCAAAAATATCTGACATTCCTGATGTCCACCTTTTAGCCCAGATCACCTCCACTTGAGATGTTCTGGCCTATGGTTATTAGCATGTTAGTAAATCTTGACATTGTCATATTGCGGTGAATTTTGCCTTGGATGTGGATTTAGACACAATTCAAGATAATATCGTTTACTAGTTAAAGATTCTTTAAATTTACTAATTCTAGGCTTTGGTAAAATCATGTAAAAAAGACATATTTCTTCAGCTTGTACTCTATATAAATGATTGGCTCTGAAGTATGATGTAAAATAACAGTGTCTGTTGTTTATATTGATGTTAAATGGAGTACACTTTACATGAATACAGTTTTGAGATGTAATCCTATTGACTATATTTATTTATTTATTTATTTATTTATTTTTGAGACAAGGTAGCCCTGACTATTCTAGAACTCACAGAGATCCTTC